AAACATGCTTAAAATTATAACAATAAGCAGGTATTTGAACGCAGTCTTGACTACAACCACACACCTATCAGATTTAGATGCGAGCGCGGTGACTCCTGGTAATACTAAGGCCGGCGTCTCCTCACCTCAGAAGGTGTGCCACTACTACGACTGCTACACTTACTAGTTATAAATAACGTACTGTGGTTCATAAAATAGAATCAACGAAGAAAAAGCTGATTCTCTTGAGATAAATGAACAATAAGGATAAAGAGGGAACAAAAAGACAGGAGCGCATTATTAGGAAGTATATGAAGTACTTGAAATTTGGGGTGGGGAGAAAAATGGGAATAGGAAGCATTCAATTTCTGAATAACTCTCCGTGCACAAATAGCACAGGGAGGAATCTGGATGGTGCGATCTGTCTTCTGACTTTCAAAATACGGCTACAGCCACCACCTAAAGGATTTCTAATATGCAGTTCACTCAGGACTAAGTTCAGATTAGCAGACATAGTTTTACACTGTTCTTTCCAAAGGGAGAATTATTTTGTTAGAAAAAGCATGTTATTTTAGTAAAAGCAACACAAACAAACTCCATCTGACACTTATTTCATTACCTTTCTGATAAAATAATTATAGGGCTGACTTGTATATATTTATTGAAGAATTTTAGATGAATCAAAGTCTCTATCGCCTCTTGTTCTCATTGTTCATATTCTTTTAGTCCCTCACTCAACAGACAGATGCGCATCCCATAACAAGGCTCATTCTAGGCACTAAGAGACAGAGCACTGGAGAAACCATTGTTGTCATAGAGCTGACACCCTTATGCAGAAGCCAGGCAATAAGTAAGCAAAGCACTATTAACGTGCCCTGTGTTGGGGGGTGCTAAGTGCCCTGAGCATAGAATGCTGTGAATGCAGGTGCTGGGAGAAGGGACAGGTGTGAGTTGGGGGCTGCCCTCAGGTGGAAAGGAACAAGGAGCAAGTGAGAAAGGCCTAAGGCCAGAAGCACACTTGGCAGGCCTGGAGGCTAGTGCAGCTGAGGCAAAAGTGCCACGACTGGGAAGAGAGCAGGTCAGGGCTGTGCGCACATGCATGCATGTATGCATGCATGTGTGCGTGTGTGTGTATGTGTGTCTGGGCTACCTTGTAGGGTCAGGAGTGGCAAGGAAAGTCAGGTGTTCCAGACATTTATAAGAATACAATACAAGCTCGATATAAACATGATGCTTATTTAGCTACAATAATCAAGTAATATTAAACCATAAAACTGATGACTAGAAATATGATTAGAATATAGTGGACTCTTGATATATAAACTCATTTCATTCCCAAGGGATGGTTGCAACTCAAGTTATCAATTAAAGGCTCGGGCTGCTCTACACAGCCTTCAGAGTCTCTCTCCTGTACATGGGCAGATCTGTGTCCTTCGACATTGACCCAGGACTTCTCAATTAAGCCCATACAGGGAAGGATGCTCAATGTTCCATCCAGAACTCTTTTTGAAGGGTTAAATCTGTATCTTAGACCATCTGGAAGCATAAGTGGCTAGCATTCAGGCCATAATTCATGATTTTGGTCACAGGTTAAAACTAAAATTCCAGTCATAACCCAAATTCTTCCTATGTTAGGCTGGTCATAACCCGAGTGTTACGGTTTGTGTGCAGTTGTCCCCCAAAGCCTCATGCAGTCATGGGGAGGCTTCTGGAGTTTGTGATTGATTACTGTGG